GAAATTCGCCCCTTATTCCGCAATCTTTGGGCGTCCATAGGATGGATCTCTCATCCCTTAAGAACTATGATAAACTTCATGAGAAGGAAAATAGCTTTTATATCTCCAAGTTTTTCATAGTAGGCCAAAAGTTCAACTTTCTCAAAAACATTCTAACAATGCACAAACAAGTAAATTGAAACATAACCACCAGCTTATAAGTTCTAATGTTTTGATCATGTTCTGCAGTTTCAACTACAACTTTTCATGCCACCAGATTTGAAGACAGCATTCTTCTATCTGGTGCAGAAGTGGCTTTTTGTCTTGCATCATACAGTGGCTATTTATTTATTTATTTATTTATTTATTTTTATAATTGAATTATAGTTTCTGTAGTGAGAATGGGCCAAATGGGCCCTAGTGTTCTTTATTTCTTTTAAGTATAGTGTTTAAAAGTTATGTTTCTTAGTTATGGGCCTTATGGGCCTTCTTTTGTTATCTTTAATTATTTCTTTAGTGCTGGCCGCCCCATTAAGGGCATCCAAGTAATTGTACTCAGACTTAGAATTATTAATAAAAGTGATGAAAGGGGGCTAGAGAGAGGAGTTCGAATTCTTCTTTTCTATCTTCCCTTCTTTTCTTCTTCTTTCTCTTTCTCTCTTTTTCTTCTTTCTTGCATTTTCTGAATTACTGTAGGTGTAATTTTCAACTTGGTATCAGAGCGGGTTCTCACTTTCGACTTTTTTCTCCTTTCTTTGCCCATACATAGTCTGTATGGAGAACTGATTGGTTGATCAACCAGCTACTTATGTAGCCCCATTAGAAAGGTTTTTGGAGAGTGTTGTGGAGGTTTTTCATCCTTAGTTGAAGCCCAGGGCAGGTTCTTGGAGATTTTTCCCAAAAACCCTAGATAACTAGAGAAACCTTGTTACAAGTTGTAGAGACAATTTGAACCAAGCGCTTGGGGATCAGAGGTAAGCCTTTTGATTTTTATTAGGGGCGATTTTGGTTGGATTGAATTCTGGAACCTCTGGAAGGGGCACTTGAAGTTTCTCTCTTTCTCCCCATCCCGCAGGACCCTATGAAACCCTAATTTTGGGAGGTTAAGAGGTTGTTCTTTGTTTAGAATAGTAAATCTAGCCAAGTAAATCCCTAATTTGAATTTCGTTTGCATCCGTTTACTCAATGGAGCAAACTGGAGGAGACCAAATAATCCTCAAATTTTGGGTTTGAACATAGGGGTCAGTGGAGAATCTTTTCGGGGCCGTGATACTATAAAGCTAAATGGGACCAATTATTTAGCTTGGTCTCAATCTATTAAGATACATGTGTGTAGTATAGGAAAATGGGGTTATATTACCGAGAGAAAGAAGAAAACGGAGGAGGATGATCCTACCTATGAAAGGTGGATGCAGGAAAACTACACAGTAATGGATTGGTTAGTGAATTCTATGCAACCACACATTAATCAGCATTACCTGTGGATGGAAACTGCAAAAGAAGTGTGGGATAGTGTCACAGAGACCTATTCCCAAAAGCTTAATGTTGCTCGGGCCTACAAATTGAAGCATGATGTGAATAATCTTAGACATGGGAAGAAGCCCTTAGCAGTCTACTTCTCTATGCTGAAATCTCTTTGGCAAGAGATTGATCCGATGGAGACTGTTGTTTGGGGTTGCACAAAGGATGCAAAAACATATAAGAGGTTGGTAGAGAGAAATTGGGTCTTTGAGTTCCTCACCGGACTCAATTCGAGGTATGGTATTGTAAGGCAGAATGTTTTAGCGAAGGATGAGGTGACTTTGTCTCAAGCATATGCTATGGTGAGCAGTGAGGAGAGCAGAAGACAAGTTCAGTCTATTGAGCCACAGGTTGATCACTATGCTAATGCGGGGATGAAGCCAAAGATTAGCACTTGAAAGAAAGATGTTATCTGTGAATACTACAAGAAGTCTAAACACACTAAAGACACATATTGGAAGTTGTATCCAGAGCTCGTTCCTACTAGATTCAAGAAATAAAATGGTAGAAAAAGGGTGGACTCTGGATGAAATGAAGGATTGTATCCTAACAAGAGCAATCCATTGGCTGAAAATTGTGGATATCTTTGATGACTTCTCCTTTGATGACTTGTGGAGGAATTGGCTAGTAATAGCTAACACTTCAACAAAGAATGATAGAATTTTGTCAGAATGGATTCCGCCTTTGGAAGGTGTCATCAAGCTGAACTTTGATGGAAGCAGCCAAGGCAACCCCGTGCCTTCAGGTATAGGGGGTATCCTGGGAAATAAGGACAGCAACATAATTTCCCTATTCTCGGGACCGGTGGGAGTGGGGGATTCCACAAGGGCAGAAATCCTAGCTGTAGTACAAGGAATTCAGATCGCCAACCAGCTTGGGGTGGAGCATCTCCTAGTTGAAGGGGACTCTCAGGTGGTAACATGGTGGCTCCTAAACTTGGATACCACCATTTGGGGCTACAAAAATCTCATCAAAAAAGTAAAGTGGTTAACCAGCAATATGAGAGTTGAGGTAAAATGGGTTAGTAGGTCTGCTAATTCTTTGGATGATGCTTTAGCCAATCAAGGGGTTTCTAGGGAAGATCTTTTTTGTGCTTCTATGTAAGTTGTTATTAATTTGGAAATCTGTACTTAACTAGCCCGGAGAGGTTGCAACTCGTGCCTTTCCTTGGGGACTTTGTACTATTGCCTATTGCTGATTAATAAAATTATTTCAATTATCAAACAAAAAAAGGGTTGACTCTGGAAAATGTAGAAATGCAAATGTAGCCACCTCTTCACAAGGTGAACAAGGATAGGGTGGAGAGAAGTCAGTGGGAGAACAGCTTGCAGCCGCCAGGGCTGAATATGAGAAGTATGGCCGAATCATCAGCCACTTGGAGTCCACTGCTACAGTTCCTTCAGAGACTATTCCTTCCTCTGCATATGCTCACTCAAGTATTCGTGCCACTACACATCATGCTTTTGTCTCAGGTACTCATAAAACCCCTTGGATAATTGATTCTGGTGCTTCTGACCATGTGACCAATGTTTCATAGTTATTCACCTCTTACCAACTTCTTTCTGGACAGGGTAAGATATCCCTTGCTGATGGGAGACATTAAGACCTCTAATGCCCTGACCTTATCATTTGTTCTTCATGTACCTAAACTTAATACCAATTTGCTTTCACTTAGTAATTTGACTAAATCCCTAAATTGCAATGTAGCTTTTTTTCCTTCATATTGTGTTTTTCAGGACATGGAATCTTAAAAGGTGATTGGGAGTGGCCATGAGGCGAATGGGATCTATCTGTTAGACATGCCTGAGCAAAGCCAAGTACAACCTAAGAGAATTGCATTTGTTTTAGAGTCCACTAGTCGTATTATGTTATGTCATAGTCGTTTGGGTCACTTGTCCTTTTCTTCATTGAGTCGGTTGTTTCCAGAGTTATTTAAATGAATTAATCTATCAAGTCTTCATTGTGAGTCTTGTGAGTTCTCAATCCTTCAAGTAATAAAAGATCAACTATTCCTTTTAATATCGTTCAATCTAATGTGTGGGGGCCTTACCATTTACCATGTATGGGTGGGTATAAATATTTCATCTTGTTTATTGATGATTTTTCACGATATACTTGGATTTACCTTATGCGCACTCGGGTTGAAGTGCCTAAACTTGTGCAACAGCTCCATGAACACATACTCACTCAGTTTAATACCCACATCAAAATATTCCAAACAAACAATGCTAAGGAATATTTTGAGAAGGACCTTACCTCCTATCTTGAGAAGTTTGGGGTTATTCATCAGAGTTCTTGTGTCCGCACTCCACAACAAAATAGAGTAGCAGAGAGCAAAAACAAACACATTGTGAAAGTTACAAGGAGCATTCTTTTTGCTACGTTCCTATGAAGTTTTGGGGTGATGGAGTTTTAACAACTACATACCTTATTAACCTCATGCCTTCTCGAGTCTTGGGGTTAAAATCTCCCTTTAGAGTCCTCTTTCCTGATGTTGAGATTTTCTCTATTCCTCTGAAGGTCTTTGGTTGCACTTTTTATGTCCACATTCCCAATTCCAAAAGACACAAGTTTAACACTAAGACTCAGAAGTGTATCTTCCTTGGTTATGTCTCCACACAGAAAGGGTATTGTTGTTTTGATCCCATTAATGGCACCCAGTTCGTTTCCATGGATGTCACTTTTGCAGAATTAGTCCCTTTTTATAGCCATCCTTCTAAGGGGGAGAGATCACTCGAGTTGTTTTCTTCATCCCTTCCTTTGCCAACTCCAATTGAGTCTTGTGTTGAGCCCTCCACAGTTACCCCCATTCCAGCGAAGGGATCTTCTCCTTTGACGTCTTCCACTCCAATTCCTCCTCCTCCTCCTACTAGTCCTCCAGTTGTTTCCACCCATCCTATTCTCCAGAGGTGGTACCAGTGGCAAAGGCTAAGGCAAACACAGATTGATCCCACATCTCCAGCTAAGACTCTGCCGCTCTCAATTACTGAAGAGAGGACATGTCCATCACCCCCTCCACCAACACCCTCGTTTCCAGACCTTAACCTACCCATTGCTTTGAGAAAAGGTAAAAGGAAATGTATAGCTCATTGTATTTCCAAATACATTTCCTACAGCTTGTTGTCCCCATCCTACTATGCCTTTCTAGCCTCCATTTCTTCTCAATCCATCCCAAAGTTTGTTTTAGAAGCCTTAGCCACGCCAGATTGGAGAGATGTATGAGTACTAAAATAGAAGCCCTTCATAAAAACAATACCCGGGAAGGGTATATTATTTGCTAAACATGGACACATGAAGGTAGAAGCATATACAGATGTTGATTGGGTAGGAAACGTGGATGACAGCAGATGCACATCAGGATATTGTGCTATGATAGCTGGAAATATTGTTTCCTGGAGAATAAAAAAGCAATCAATGGTTGCTAGATCTTCAACTGAGGCAGAGTATAGACCTATGGCCCATGGTGCTTCTGAGTTGTTATGGCTTAGATCTCTCCTTAATTAGATGGGTGTTTCATGTGACGAGCCACTACTGTTGTATTGTGATAACCAAGCTGCTATTAACATTGCTCACAACCTAGTTCAGCATGATAGAACTAAGCACATTGAGGTAGACAAACACTTTATATGGGAGAGAGTGGCTTCAGGAGAGTTGTGCCTACCTTTCATTGCATCAGAAGAGCAGCTAGCAGATTTTCTAACCAAGGGAGTCCCAAAGGCAAAGCTTCAACATTATGTAAGCAAGCTGGGCATGATTGACATCTATGCTCAGCTTGAGGGGGATTGTACTGAGAATGGGCCGAATGGGCGCTAGTGTTCTTTATTTCTTTTAAGTAGTGTTTAAAAGTTATGTTTCTTAGTTATGGGCCTTATGGGCCTTCTTTTATTTTCTTTAATTATTTCTTTAGTGCTGGCCGCCCCATTAAGGGCATCCAAGTAATTGTACTCAAACTTAGAATTATTAATAAAAGTGATGAAAGGGGGCTAGAGAGAGAAGTTCAAATTCTTCTTTTCTTCTTCCACAACCTATTGCTAAAACTTCTTTTCTTCTTCATTCTCTTTCTCTCTTTTCTTCTTTACTTGCATTATCTGAATTACTGTAGGTGTAATTTTCAACTGTTACATTAATCAAAGAAATGCAGTGACTATTTATTTTATTACATCAATTTGTTGTTATGTCCAATATACATTTCATCCACTTTCTCCCCCAAAATTTAACTATGTAAGATCACAAGTTGTTACAAATCATGCAAGCAAACATGATTAAAAATGTGCAAGTAAACATGCATCTATACATAAGCTCAGGTAAGACAGCTAGGCAGCATCAATGCATTTTGGCCTGGCAAGGCAAGTCAAAGTCCATGCCACAAGAAATAATTAGTGTACACATATTCTATAGCGGTGCATTTAATAGTCATACATAATTTTTTTTATCAGCAAAAAGATAGTCAACATAATATCATGGCATTACATGTTAAAACATAAATTACTAAAATACAAATCAAATCAGTAGATGCTTAAATGAAAACTAGCAGAGAAAGTGACAAATAATTGAATAGCCTCCCTTATTCAAAGTACAATAGTCATATACAAGGGAATTGAAAACCCAAATCTTTAAATAGCAAGTTACCAATTAATCAACATACCAATTCATTAGGTAGGAGATTCAAGTAATGGTGGTATGATCATAGTATGAGCAATGACCCAAAGATAGAAGTGCATCAAAAAATAAATAATATCTAAGGAATCTTAAATAAATCAATACATCGGACAACCATGTACCTTTGAATGTACTCAGGAGCCCCATGCTTGAAATGAGTACCACCACCTGGGAACCACCAAAACTGATGTTTCTCGTGCACCCAGTTTTGTCCTCCTTTGACTTCAGCCAAATGTGTATGGTTCACATTGCTTTGCCATACATAATCCCTACTAGTTGGCCACCTTATTGGTATTTTATAATCCACTGGTGGAGGCACCAAGCAGAACAACTTTTTAGCAAGAGGAGGGCAGTGCCTTTCGAGTTCTTCTTTCCTAGAAAGATCTAAATCTGAGAGCAACTCTTTGGTATACGACAAATCATGGCAAGGGATATGCTCATTGTAAATCAGTGGACATATGTTCATCCCAGTTTCAGGTATCAAAAGTGGTGTTCTTCTAAATGTAAGAGCAACTTTATTTGTAAACCTTATAGAACCTGCAAGGGGAAGAAAAACATTTTTAAGATTTCCAAGTACCCAAAGTAGTCCATGGAGTTTTTTTTTTTTTTTCTTTGAAGAATAAAGGAAAATTTTATTAAAAATAAAAAGGGAAAGAAATACAACAGCAAGGTGATATATCACCAGAATAAGAACAACCTCAGAGAGCCCATAAAACCCAAAAACCCCACAGCTTACAAGCAAAGATTTACCCAATCAGTTCTGAGCAAAGATCAAGGAATAGAGACCCAATGAACCTCCATGGATACAAAGGCCACCAGCCCATCAATTAATCAAAAAGAAGAGCCCTCCCTGCAAACCACCAAAACTTCAGTCTTCATCCGTGAGCATATCCTCCTGGAGTGAGTTGTCCTCATCCCATTCCTTGCTTCCTTCCTGAAGGATTTAGTTCTTCAATTTCTCTTCCCTTTTTCTTCTTGCAAACTCGTCAAAGGTCCTCTAGTAAACTCCTCACCACCTTGGTCATGATGGAGTTTTACATGATCAGCCAAGGCATTTTTAGTACAAATTGCCACAAACCACTACAAATGGATAAAGCAACCAAAGCACTAAGGGTAGATTTTGATATATCATTGTTGAACTACACATAAGTTAACAGGGAGAGTTTGTGGGTGGAGCTGCACAGTATCAGAAGAATGTGTGAAGGAGCTTGGTATTTAGTGGGGTATTTCAATGTGAATCAGTTTTCTGCCAAAAAGAGTGTAGGATCCTCAAGAATCACAAGTATGAGGAATTTTAATGAGTTTATTGAGGACCTTCCTTTACAGAATACACAATTCACTTGGTCTAACTTACAAGAGAATCTGATTTGTTGTAAGTTGGATAGATTTCTGGTAACCACGGAGTGGGAAGAGCACTTTGGGTCGGTGGTACTTAAAACCTTGACAAGACCAACTTCAAATCACTGGCCACTTTTATTGCAATCAGAAGAGTTATCTTTTGGACCTATGCCTTTTAGATTTGAAAATATGTGGATAATTCGTCCTCAGTTTAAGGAGAATATAGAAAGGTGGTGGAAGGATTATAATATGGAGGGTTGGGCTGGGTCCAATTTATGCAAAAATTAAGTTGGATAAGGGCAGCTCAAAGTTTGGAATGTTCAGACCTTTGGAAGAGTAGAGGTGAGAAAGGTAGATCTGCTAAGACAAATTGGATCTCTAGACAAAGTTGAGAGAGAAGGAAGGGGTCTGAATGAGGAAGAAAGACAGAAAAGATTGGAGTTGAAGGTGGAGTTGGAGACAACAATAAGAAGGGAAGAAATTTATAGGAGACAAAAATTGAGGTGTAAACAGTTAAAGGAGGGGATGGTTTTTCCACCTGATGGCAAATGGGAGAAGAAAGAAAATTCTAATTTCTATGGTGGTGGTTGATGGTGAAGAATTTAGGGATAAAGGGGAAGTCGAGAGTATATTATTATCACATTTTTTTCATCATTAATAGAATAGTATATTATATTATTATTCACATTATAAAGGCTTTGTACTCACCAAGGTGTATACAAAGGCCTGTGGTGTAAAGGATCTAGTGGAAGAAGGTGCCCTCAGAGGTGGCAGCAAGGCTTGAGGAACCTTTCTCATTGGAGGAGATAAAGGGCTGTAATGGGTATGAGTGGTGATAAGGCCCCTGGTATGGATAGTTTCACTATGGCCTTTTACCATTAGTGTTGGGATTTTATCAAGGAGGATCTGAAAAAAGTGTTTGATGAGTTCTTTTTGAGGGGAAAAGTGGGAAAAAGAATGAATGCAACCTTTGTGTCATTGATTCCAAAATGCATAGGGGCTACCTCTACAAATGAGTTGAGACCAATTAGCCTCACTACAAGCCTTTACATCAGCCTTTTTGTAAATGCTGATGGGATAGTGACTTAGTTTTTGTAAGGCTTTCCCTGATATAGCTTCTTGTTTTTCAGGGATTTTAATGAAATTCATACTTTACCTCTTCTCAAAAACAAAAAGAGGTTCTTCATTGGATGGTATCCAAAGAGCAAAGAGCAAGGAGTTTTTGTTAGGAATAGGCAAATTTTGGATCAGACTCTAATAGTTAATGAGGCAGTGGAGGATTTTTGAAAATCAGGGAAGAAAGGTTTTGCGTTCCAATTGGATTTGGAAAAGGCCTATGATCATGTGGACTGGATTTTCTTATAGTCGGCAATGGCCCAAATGGGTTTTGGCTAGAGGTGGATAAGGTGGATGATGGGTGTTTGAAGACAATTCATTTTTTGATATTGATCAATGGCTCCCCTAAAGATTTCTTTAAGGCTTCAAGGGGTTTACTACAAGGGGACCCATTATCACCAATGTTGTTTACGTTGGTGAGAGATATTTTTAGTAAACATTTAAAGAGAGCGAATGAAAGAAATATCTTCAGAGGTTTTAGAATCAGGAAGGAAAGCCAAGTTGTGTATCATCTTCAGTTTGCAGTAGTTGAAGTCATCTTCAACCCATCCAAAAGGAGGTCCCTTCAACATTTTTGAATTCGATCAACCACAGAAGCAAGTATAGGGAAGAGAGACATGAAATGAGTATAGAGGTTGTTAAAACCACTCTTTATAAGTCATGTTACCTGCTTTGGACAATTATTTCAATTTCTGCGAGGCCAGTCTCCTTTTGGCCCTTACAATCATCAAAATAACATATTGATTTTGGCCTAAGAACAAATTGCTAGACAGCTAAATTTCGACAGACATGAAACGAGTATAGAGGTTGTTAAAACCACTCTTATAAGTCATGTTACCTGCTTTGGACAATTATTTCAGTTTCTGCAAGGCCAGTCTCCTTTTAGCCCTTATAATCATCAAAATAACATATTGATTTTGGCCTAAGAACAGATTGCTAGACAGCTAAATTTTGACAGACTATTCAATGAAGGTAACTCTAAATTGATAGTAGAGTGGCTGAAGGAACCAGAAACAGTGATTTGGAAGTACAAGAAATCTATGAAAAAGTTCAAATGGCTGGTTAGAGATATGACTTTTTTTTTTTTGAAGAGGTAAAGTAAGATGTTATTAAATAAATAAAAGATGGATACAAGGAGTTCACTGCACAAAGGCTGTGTAAAAGAACCACCTTAAGAACCCTAAAAAAATTAACTATTACACAGCCTTTGTGCAGTGAACTCCTTGTATCAAATTAACTATTACACAAGCACTCAATAATCCCATTTGAACAGCATATTTGAACTCAGCCACCCTATCAAATCATCTACAACTGAATTTATCACATTTTCTACTTGGAGCTGTTTTTGATCAAAGATCCTCCTATTTCTCTCCCCCCAAATGGACCACAGGACTGCCAAAGGAATTGCACTCCACAAGATCCTACCCTTGCTCATACCTTCAATTTTCCAGCTAGATGTGATTCAAACCAATAAAATTAGTAGAATATTTTAGAATAAAGAAAAAGAAATTAAGGAAGAAGAAGAAACAGCAAGAAGAAGAAGGAAGATTGGAGAAGAGGAGAAAGAAAGGAGGAGTTTGATAATCTCCTCTTTCTCCCACTAATCCTTTTTAATAAACTTGCTTAAGTTACATAATTTACAAGGTTGCCCTTAAGTAGGCGTCCACATCAGCACTATACTTAGAAAACATAAACAAGAGCTAAAGGCCCATAAAGAAAAGGCCCAATAAGAAAACATAACAAGAAAGAACCAATTAGAAAGACACGAATGGGCTAGGGCCCATTCGGCCCAGTCTCTCTACACTCCCCCTCAAGCTGAGCATAGATATCCATCATGCCCAGCTTGCTTATATAATGAACCAGCTTTCCTTTAGGAACACCTTTTGTCAAAACATCAGCCAATTGTTCTTTAGGAGCAACAAATGGTAGACAAACTTCTCCTGAGGCAACTCTCTCTCGTATAAAATGTCTGTCAACTTCAATGTGCTTAGTTTTGTCATGTTGAACAGGATTATGTGCAATGTTGATAGCAGCCTAGTTGTCACAATATAACATCATTGGCCTCTCATAGTCTATACCCAATTCATCTAAAAGTGATCTTAACCAAAAAAGTTCAGAAACTCCATGTGCCATTGCCTTGTACTCTGCTTCAGCTGAAGATCTTGCCACTATAGATTTCTTCTTACTCCTCCATGATACAAATATACAATGTTCCCTGCTACCATAGCACAGTAACCTGAAGTAGACCACCTATCATCAATACATCCGGCCCAATCAGCATCAATGTATGCTTCCAGCTTCATGTGTCCATGCTTAGCAAACAAGATACCTTTCCCTAGAGTCCCTTTTAGATAGCATTGAACTCTCTCAGCAGATGCTAAATGTGTATCGCTGGGAGAATGCATAAACTAGTTGATTACACTAACTACATAGGAAATATCTGGCCGAGTCATGCAAAGGTATAATAACTTCTAGACCAGTCTCTGGAACACTCCCTTATCAGGCAACAGTTCACCTTTAGTAGTTGACAACTTATGATTTAGGTCAATAGGAGTAGAAGCAAGTCGAGCCCCCAGTTTCCCAATCTCTGCAAGGAGATCAAGAACATACTTCCACTGAGAAATGAAGATACCATCCTTAGATCTGGCAACTTCAGTTCCCAAGAAATATTTGAGTTCTCCCAAGTCTTTAATTTCAAACTCAATGTTAAGAAAACTCTTGAGATGAACAACTTCCTGAGTATCATTACCTGTAACCACAATATTATCAACATAGACAAACAGAAGGGTCACTAAGGAATCTCTCCTCTTAACAAACAAAGTATGATCCGACTGAGTCTGTGTGTACCCAAAAGTAACAAGAGCAGCTCGAAATCTGTCAAACCTTTCCTTGCATCTCCTTCCCATACACCCCTGGAGGTAATGACATACAGACCTCTTCATTTAGGTTCCCATTCAAAAAAGCATTCTTTACAACAAACTGATGAAGAGGCCAATCAAAAGCAATAGCTAAAGATAGCAAAACTCGAACTGAAGTCATCTTGGCTACTAGGGCAAAAGTTTCTAAGTAATCAATACCATACA